GAGTAAAGTGTGGAGGGGGGCACCGCACACGGCTAAGAGAATAACTGATGTGCTTTGGGGTGCCCCCTGCCCCCATATATAAAGGTGGAGGGGAGGAGGCCGGCCCTAGGGGCGCGCCCAAGTGGGTGGAAACTGACTAGGACTCCTAGTCCTAGTCACCCCCCTTTCCAATTCGAACAGCCCATGGGGGGCCACTCCTTGTGGGATCCCCTCTCTCTCCCCTATGACCCATGATGGCCCATTACTTCCCCGAGGGGTTCGGTAACCTCCCGGTACTCCGAGAAATACCCGAAACACACTGGAACCATTCTAGTGTCTGGATATCATCGTCCAATATATTAATCTTAACCTCTCGACCATTTCGAGACTCCTCGTCATGTATGTGATCTCATTTGGGACTCCGAACATTCTTCGGTCACCAAAACACATAACTCATAATACAAATCGTCATCGAACGTTAAGTGTGCGGACCCTGCGGGTTCGAGAACTATGTAAACATGACCGAGACACATCTCCGATCAATAACCAACAACGGAACCTGGATGCTCATATTGATTCCTACATATTCCACGAAGATCTTTATCAGTCAAACCGCAATGACAACATACGTCATTCCCTTTGTCATCGGTATGTTACTTTCCTGAGATTCGATCGTTGGTATCTTTATACCTAGTTCAATCTCGTTACCGGCAAGTCTCTTTACTCGTTCTGTAATGCATCATCCCGCAACTAACTCATTAGTCACATTGCTTGCAAGACTTATCGTGATGTGCATTACGGAGAGCGCCTAGAGATACCTCTCCGATACTCGAAGTGACAAATCCTAATCCCAATTTATGCCAACCCAACAAACACCTTCGGAGACACCTGTAGAGCATTTTTATAATCACCCAGTTACGTTGTGACGTTTGATAGCACACAAGGTGTTCCTTCGGTATTCGGGAGTTGCATAATCTCATAGTCAAAGGAATATGTATAAGTCATGAAGAAAGCAATAGCAATAAAACTAACGATCATTATGCTAAGCTAACGGATGGATCTTGTCCATCACATCATTCTCCTAATGATGTGATCCCGTTCATCAAATGACAACATATGTCTATGATCAGGAAACTTAACCATCTTTGATTAACGAGCTAGTCAAGTAGAGGCATACTATGGACACTTTGTTTTGTCTATGTATTCACATATGTATCAAGTTTCCGGTTAATACAATTCTAGCATGAATAATAAACATTTATCATGATATAAGGAAATATAAATAACAACTTTATTATTGCCTCTAGGGCATATTTCCCTCAACGGGTTGCAGAACACGACTCATGTGAAGTATCACTTCAACCAGGCTCCACGAGGGCACTCGTTTAAGGGGGACACAATTCATACAAGCAACCAAATACGCCCATACCAGCCAAGTCAATTTGCAAAAAGAAAATGTCTGGTTGATTTGCTCCTTTGGAGGAGTACCATACAGTTCCATTTGCAAATTGACTTTTGGGAGAGTCCAACTCACATATGGGGTTTGGACACTAGACTATATAACCCTTGAATTCGAGATATAGAAAGGTAGTCTGGAGAGCAGTATTGTAATATGCTGAGTTTTTTTGGGTCAAGGTCCTGGCCTCTACATGCTCGAATGATGACTCAACAAATTTAAACTTTGTTACCAGAGGGACTAATATGAGAAGTTGCTATCTGATAAATATTTTGTTTGGAAAAGGTATCTATTATAAAAGTTCATTAGAAATATAAAGCACCTCAAGCATAATAAAAAATACATTAAAGTCTCTTGACCACCCGACGACAACTATCGCTGTCAAAACAAGCCGTCGACGCTCCCCTACCAGAGCTGGCTTGACCTTGTCGATGCAGTCGGGAAGTCTTCGTGCACGTGCTCCTAAGGGCCAACACCTTGAAGCCGCAGTCGTCGTCATTGAACCTTTGAATAGATCTACAACATCTGACACCAAATCTAGTCGTCGCGAACGCATGACGAGAAACCCTAAGTCACCACCTCAAGGAGACAACATGAATTTACCCCGAAACTCCATTGACCGCGTACAAATGGACGAATTTGAGAAGGATCGGAGTGCGGAGCACAAATTCAAAGAAAAAACGCCGCCATCCATCGAACGCCGCACCAGCGAGGACTATAAAAACACTACCCTAAACTACTAGCTGGAGCGAAGGCATCGAATTTCCTTCCCCACCACCGACCGCAGAGCGACATGCAGAGGGAAGACGAACCCACGGGTTCACCGGCAAAGTCTGGAGGGGAGATTTTGCCTAGCCACTGAGGAGAAGAGGGAGAAAACGCTCGGAGAAAAAGTCGTCAGTTTGAATGAAGCATCTTAGAATGAAGTATTTTTCTACACTTCTCGCAAAAAAAAGTATTTTTCTGCAACGTTCATGGAAACAACTCTATATATTACTCGCAAAAAAAGACTCTATATATTGTTCAAAAACTTTATTGG